GTCAGTTTCTAGTGGGTCAAGTCGTGTCGTTTCCTCTAAATGAAAAACATAAATGAATGTTTACGGCTCACCGAAGACGCCGGGCTGCCCACGCGCGGGACAATGATCCGTCTTCGAGGAGATAGAAGCACAGCCAGAATGTTCCGAATAAGCAAGGATGGTGCGCCTTTGACTCATGGGCCTTGGACACGTCGCTAGGTGGGACCCGTCCCTGGCGAAGGACATTGTGCTTGCTAACGTGGAGGGTCAACCAAAAGAGAGACGTCCTCAGTGGGATTGTTTGACACAGCGGCTGCAACATCAGGCACAAACGTCGTGACGGTTGTGAGGATGAACCAGGATCGTTCTTTTTTGTATGTGTCTTTATTGTCTTTGGTTTTCCGTCTTCGTTGAAGATGGTCCAGATTTAGCAAATAAATTACAAGGTGTTCCGTTCACTCTAGTTTTCAGATGAACAAGGAATCTCTCTGTGTGTGTCTGTACATTGGGTCTGTATGCTGCTTATCTGAAATGTGAAGTTTAACTGAGTGCCCTGTGTTTGAACTGGCAACCCTAGCAGAAGCATTTGTCTCCATTTTCCTCAACTAAGTCTTCCCAAGGCAGGATGAAGAAAGAGATGTGGGAAGAGTCTCTCGTATCACTTTGAGTTTTCTCAGAGTGTTTCTCTCTGCTTTGTCCCCGATAAGAGGCCTGAGAAAAGCCCCTGTCCTCTAGCCCCCCAGGACTTGGTATTTCTACCTGCAAAGGTAGATCAATACGCATGCCCTGCGGTCCACATAGCATCTCTGGGCCACATCAATCTCCCCAAACTTCAATCAAAGCCTGCCAGACAGGCCCTGTGCACCGTAGACAGTGCATCCCTCTCTGCCCAAACGGAGACACACAAAGGGATTGGTTCATTTGGGGTGAGGGAAAGTGACGAGGAGGCTATATATATATTTTAAATAAATTTATTGGGGGCTTCTACAACTCTTATTACAATCCATATGTATATCCATTGTATCAAGCACATTTGAACATTTGTTGCCCTCATCATTCTCCAAATATTTGCTTTCTACTTGAGCCCTTGGTATCAGCTTCTCACTTTTCCCCTCCCTCCCTGCCCCCCTCCCTCATGAATCCTTGATAATCTATAAATTATTATTATTTTGTCATGTCTTACACTGTCTGACATCTCCCTTCACCCACTTTTCTGTTTTCCGTCCCCCAGGGAGGGGGGTATATTTAGATTCTTGTCATCGGTTCCCCCTTTCCATCCCACCCTACCTCCACCCTCCTGGTATCGCCACTCTCACCACTGGTCCTGAAGGGATCATCTGTCCTGGATTCCCTGTGTTTCCAGTTCCTATCTGTACCAGTGTACCTCCTCTGGTCTAGCCAGATTTGTAAGGTAGAATTGGGATCATGATAGTGGTGGGGAGGAAGCATTAAAAAATTAGAGGAAAGTTGTATGTTTCATCGTTGCTACACTGCACCCTGACTGGCTTGTCTACTTCCCTCGACCCTTCTATAAGGGGATGTGCTGTATTTTTAACACGTTGGCTAAAGTTTGTAAATGAAGTCATTCCCATTGACTCAACTGTGACTCGTAAAAACCCCATGGGACCGAGTGGAGCTGCTGCTTAGGATTTCCAAGCCTGCACATTTTCTGGAAGCACATGCTTCCTCTTTCTTCTGCAGAGTGGCCGGTGGGTTTAAAACACGGAGCTTGTGGTTAACAGCCCACTTAATCCCCTAGCAATCCTTTTTGTCCATCCCTTGGCTTAGTGCTGATGAGAACTCAAAGACTCGAGAGTGGCGGTTGCCGGCTTACCTTCAATCCCTGGCCAGTCTCCCTGCCCCCTAGGAGGTACCCTGTGGGCTCCTGGCGGGACTCGGGTTTCCAGTGGGTCAGTAGGTGCCTAGGAGAGAGCTCGGGAGGTAGTGAAACCCACTCATCTCCCACTCTGTTCAAAAAGGGAATTTTATTATCCCTGTAGTTTGGGCCAATGGGAGTTTTTCATGTTTAACTATCATATCCAAGCATTACAAACAAAAGTGCTATTAATTTGTTTTCATTTAAATGAATATTTATCAACCTGATGAACTCAAATTCACTGTCATCACCGTGACCTTTTGCAGGGTTTCCGAGGCTAGAAACCTATATGGAAGTAGACAGCCTCATCTTACCCCCAAGGAGCGGCTCGTGGGTTTGAACCGCTGACCCAATGCTTACTCAGTGCTACCAGGACTCTATTGGCATCATTCCTTTTCTCCACTCTGGTCTCATCATTCCTGTCTCTTCAGGAAACGAATGAACAATCTTTTTCCCTGATCAGCCTCAGAAGGAAACATCAGCTCAGCTAGCCCTTTGGTTTCCTCCTTCTTTTTGAACCCTTTATTTCCTCTTCCAGTTTGTGCTGTCCTGTGCATGTTTGCGGAACCAGTACTCTCATAAGTGATCTATCTCACCACCATCGAATCAACGTCGACTCCTAGCGAGCCTGCAGGACAGAGTAGAACTGCCCCTATGAGTTTCTAAGACTGTCACTGGTTTCAAGAGTAGAAAACCCTGTCTTTCTCTGGAAGAGCTGGCCTGCAGTTTCCAACTGCCGACCTTGTGGATTGCAGCCCGACTCATAACCATGAGGCCACCAGGGTGTGCTTATACATTAGTTAACATTTTAAATGATCATGTTCCTGGATTCAAGCACGAGTCCGCCCGAAACACGATCTTCTCTCTGTTCTCTAGCCACCGTGTTAACGTCATCTCTGCTGGTCGGAAGAGCCACTCTCTCCTAATGCCAGTACCGCTGGAAACCCCCGGCCTGACAAGGACAAGGGACTTTTCAGGAGGCTTCTGTGAGGTTGGGATTTGGGGCTCACTGCTAGACTCACAGAGTCGAGTACAACTGCCCCAGTAGGGTTTTCTGTGCTTAATCTTTGCAGAAGCACTTCATCAGACCTTTCTCCCAGGGAACCACCGAGTGAGTCTGAACCGTCAACCTTCCAGTTGGCAGCCATGCGCTTAGCCATTGTCCCACTGAGGTCTCCTTGGTGCCATTGCGTGAATTAGTGAGCGTCAGTTTCTAGTGGGTCAAGTCGTGTCGTTTCCTCTAAATGA